AATATTGCAAGTTTTATTTTAAAAGAAACATTGTGCTGCTCATTTTCTCAATTTTTTATAGGATTTAGTACATAAACAGGAAGTCTTGTCCTTTGTTGAAATAGACATCTAATTTTTTGCCAACATTCTGCCTGGCTGATTTATACCACTCTTCATTTTGAATATGCAAGTCAAATAAACTGAATAAGCATATCCAATATTCACACTTCTATTTTGAGGGTACTTCACCTTCCTTAAAGCAGTGGTTTTCAAATTTTTTTCTCATGACCCAGTTGAGGAAAATCGTTGATGCATGCAACCCAACAGAATCTGACTAGAGTGTGGGCTCTGGGGTGAAGCTGAGGATGAGAGCTTTGGGGCTGTGACTTTGGGGAATCAGGACTGGAGCAGGAGGAGCTTACCGTCAGCAGTACAGCGGGGTGCTAGTACAGGCTTCCTGCCTCTCCTGGCACTACAGACCATGCTGTGCTCCAGAAGCAGCTAGAGCAGGTTCCCAGCCCGTGGGAGTGCAGAGCTAGTGCGTGGAGCAGGGGCAGTGCACGGACCCTATGTGCTCTCTCTCCCCTCCTCCCTCCAACCTAGGAGCCAGGCCTGCCGTGCAGTCTGTAGTGCCTGCCTTAGCACTATCACTGGTGACCTGATCACTTTGCAGCAGTGAGACTTGGTGTCACAATCCAGTACTGCATCGTAACCCACAGATTGAAAACTACTGTTCTAAAGGATAGGTTACCAGCCATTACTAAAGGCATAGATCAGGGGTAGCCAACCCATTCTGGGCAAAGAGCCAAGATAGCAGTGGATCCAGCGAGAAGAGGCGGGGCAAAGTTATCAAGCAAAAAAAGAAAAAAAGGACTGCCCTTTTAAAAGGAGCTTCCAGTTGCATTTGGTCAAGCCAAAAAAAAAAAAAGGCCCCTTTAAGAAAATGCATTTAAACGCGTTTTGAGGCTTTTTGGCCATAGCAGGCTCCCAATGCCATCTATAATGCTACATCTTTCATACCATGCCAGCCAGCTCTCCTGCCCAGGTCAGCACGGGGAGCCAGAGGACAGGGCCGTTTCTGGGGGCACAGGGACAGGTTATGAGCCACTGGGGGAGAAGGGAACGGGCTTCGTGAGATGCAGCCGGGGGGCGGGAGGGGGAAGGGAAGAGCCGCATGCAAGCCTCAGGTTGGCCACAGCTGGCAGAGATAATTAGATACCAGTGTTTATACTGTTACCTTATTGGCCCAAGCAGTTAGCCAGTTTTCATGACTTTGCTAGGTTGTTTTGCCTAGTAGAAAAACTATTAAACTGTTACACAAACCAGATATTTTTGTGCAATTCTGTTTACAAAAAAGCATATAGCATCCCTAAATACAGTAAAAACAAATAAGAACAGGCAGTTTCATAGCTTTCAATGTCGTTCCAGTGAATTCTGTGGTCTAAAAAGCTCCTCATTGCTCCCTCTTAGAGCCATACTCACTGCTGCTTCTGGTCTCACACTTGCACAGCAAGCAATTGGACAATCCTAACTCCGTCTGAGCTTTACCTTCATTTCTAGGGAAATCCCTTAATTCACGCATTTTACCTACTTGGGGTAGTGACTTCCTTTTGTCTCCACTACAGTAGGGGGAATTTAATTTAATTTAGCCTAAAAGAAGGGTGATTACCAAGCCCATGACTTTTAATCAGTTCTGCTATTGATGGCAGACATGAACAGCTTCCATTATGACAATTTCCAAGTATGTATGTACTATTTTTGTAACTCCTATCATTTCATTCATGGTGGGTTTTTTTTTTCATTTTGTAGTTGATGAAGACTCCAGTTGGTTCCTATGGTATGGAGAACTGGCAGTTGGTTTACACACTGAAAGAAAAGACTAAGCTAATAGACTTAGAGATGTTCAGAGATCACTGTGTGATGTTTTTGAAACACTACGGTCATCTTTATTTAAATGTGATTTCTCTTGTTTCTCATTCAGTTCAGTCTATTAAGGTATATTTTACATTTTATTTTTACAATAATTGGTTTAATACATGAAGACAGTCACTTTTGGCTTTTAATATAAATGTAAAATTCTATAGTACAGGCAGTCCCCGGTTTACGTACAAGATAGGGACTGTAGGTTTGTTCTTAAGTTGAATTTGTATGTAAGTCGGAACTGGTACATATTGTAGGGGAAACTCTAGCCAAACATTTCTCCAGAGCTCAGTTTTATTCTCCCACACCTCACTTCCCTCAGTCCTTTATTCTCAAGCTGAGGTGTCTGCTGAGAAAAGCCGCTCCACGTCTCCCTGGTCTGCTGGGGGGAAGCAGCTAGTGCGGGGTTGCCTCACCCCGTTTGTAAGTAGGGATCCGATGTAAGTCGGATCCATGTAACCCGGGGACTGCCTGTACTATAATAGTGACTCCGTGTGTTTTACTGTTGACTTATCTCTTATTGTAGTCAGGCCTATTTCGAAGCTCCTTACTCAGGTTAAGAAATCATCTGATTGACTTTACTGGACCTACTGGTAGTGTAAAGTACAGTGTGAGTTAGGGTATACTAATATAGTCCCTGGAGAGGAGCAAGATAATAGTAAAAGTCAAATTAAATGGAAAAGGGATTCAAAAGACCAATGTGTAATGGTGACCTGCCCTAATAGTATTTTAGAAGAATTATATTTGTTGCAATATGATTGATACAAATAAATATTTCTTCCTTGTCCTGGTTATTAGATGACAAATTTTTGTTGTTAGAAATTAAAAGGAAAAAGATTGATCTCATAAAAATAATTTAATTTCTATAAACAATTTAACTAAATGCTTTTAGAATTGTTTCTTTGTAGTTATTTAAAAATACAAATCTCCTGAAGAAGCTTTGTTGCAGTCGTTACTAATGTTATATTCCACAAACCTCCTTCCTAATGGTGTTCCCATAGGTAAATATAGTACACTTCCAGCATAGTTGCTGGGACTGTTGCTTTTCTAAATTATCTTGTTCAGTTGAATCAATTGTTCATAGAAGGGACTGCAATTTCTCTGTAAAACTTTGACTTTTAAAGTGGCACAATTTCTGAAGCCTCTATCAACCTGCTAACCAGAACTCCTTAAAGAAAGTAAGCGGTGGTCTAGCAGAGGGCTTGACATAGGAACCTGCTGCTTCCAAAGAATGAATCTTGATTCCTTTCACTTTTAGTGGAGTTAAAATCTTAAACATAATAGCAGTGAGTTTCTGAGTGTAGATGTGCCAAGAAAAGGTTTTGTTCTTCACAGTAGCTAGCACTGCGAACGAAGTTAGAGGCAGGGATTTTAAGTGGCTGAGCACTACTGAGCCAACTTGCGGCACAGAGTAATAACTGACATTGACTTGGCTGTATTACAAGTTGAACAAGAAGTGGTAGATCAGAAAGGAAATGAGATAAGGAAAATTGTTAAAAATATAGTAGCACACAAAGTAATCCCGAAAGAGAGATTATTTTAGCAAGATTTAAAAAAATATAATTAATACAGTATTCTCATTTTAAATAGTCCTTTGAATATAGCTGTTTTTATTTTGTGCTCTCTATGGAAAACCTTAGAATTAGGTTTATGTTCCATGTAAAATCATGGTTGAACTTCATTAGGTGGCTGTAGAAAAATATTAGCTAAACTCTTAC